ACAAAAAAAAGAATTAGAAGATTTACACAACTCTATAAACCAACAAACTTATTTTTTTTTAAGACAGGGTACCACTGTGTATTGCAGGCTGGCCTTGAACTGACTTCTATAGTCCAGGCTGGCCTGACTCACAGTGATCTTCCTGCCTCGGCATCCTGAGTGCTGGGATTACAGGTGCGCACCATCATGCCCAGAAAAGAACTCATTCTGACACATCTCCATAGGACACTCTGTGACAACAGTTGAATGGCATCCTTGTCATGTGGACGTGGAACCTTGTCTGTAACAGAGCACCCATTTGGCAGTGACACAGTTTACACTAAACGTCAAAGTGTGAAATTTATGAGATGCATTTTCTAACCACAATGAAGTAGAATTATAGATAAAAAAGCAGCTAAGTAGGGACATTCACAAGTTTGAAGAAATTAATAATTCTCACAAATAATCAGTGCGTCAGAGGAACACTTGTGAGATGACAAAAATCATTTTGAAATTCGTGAAAACAGAAAAACAAATTGTCAAATTATTTTCATTATTTTTTATTTTTAGGGAAGGGTCTACAGGGTGTTGAGGGTCTCACTACTAGATCGGACTTGCAGTCATCTGCCTGTTTACAGCCTCCCAAGAGCTGGGATTAGAGGCCTGTGTCACCACGTCCAGTCTCAACACGCCCCGTGGATGGGGATGGGGCCGGCATGGCAGGCCAGGGATCGAAAATCCAGCCCCGGGCCTACTTGCAGGTGTTTTATTCCACTGAGCCATTTGGCCGGCCCTTATCATCATAGGCAATTTGTGCATGTACATGTTATATCTTGATTCTTCTTTTTAAATCCTCATTCCCCTCTCCTCAGTTCGAGCTTTCTTCTCCTCTGCATTTACACAAGTTTTGTTTCCACTTTTCCATTCTATTTTCTTTTTCCTTACAAAGAATACAATTAGCCTGTTAGCTGGAGGCAGGATTAGTACATTTATCCTTAGGCCTAATTCTGAAAATCCTGAAGAAAATACAGAAAATAAAGCTTAACAAGGTCAACACGAATACTTCAGCTCCACAGAGATTCCTTCTAGTTGGTTAGACTCACGGCACCAGAGCTAGAGACTGGCCTAAGCATGCTTTCAAAATGTTTTGTGGCCCACACAAAAGTTGCCATGTGCACTACGAGAAGCACTTTAAAATTGGTGGACGTAGAATATAAAATCAACACACAAAACTCAGTGTCTGTCCTTTACACTAGTAATTAACCTTCTGAGAGAGAAATCAGGAAAATAATCTCATTCTCCAAGGCTGCAAACTAATATCCTTGGAATTAATTGAAACAAACAAAACAAAACACTACAGTGAAAATTAGAGAACACTGAAGAAAGAAGTGGAAAAAAACACGCCATGGGAGAGCCCCAGAGGATGAGCAGAAGGAATAACATTGGGAAGTGTGTGCTACCAAAACCAACACACAGACACAATGGGAAGTCTCCATTGAAATACCACATTCTTCACAGAGTTGAAAAAGCAAATCTAAAATTCACAGGAGACACAAATGACCCAGAATAGACAAAGCACGGGTAAGCAATGCGAGAATTCTAGAGACAGTGTAATACCTGATCTTACATAATGTAAGTTGTACTAAGAGCGATAACGTGGCAGTGGCACAGAACCACAAGTGTAGAGCAGCAGAACAGAACAAAGAAAAACCCATGTTGTACATGTTGCTACCGGATTTTTTTTCTTTTTTCAAAGGAGCTGAATCTATACACTGGAGACCAGAAAGCCACTATAACAAATGTTGCTGGGAAAACTGGACAGCCACATACAGATGTTAGAAGTGGATTTCTCTCACCATGAACTAAAATCAAATCTAAAAGGACCAATACCTTGAATATAAACTTTTCAATGGCTGGATGAAAATCTAGGGGACACACTTAAAGCCCTAGAAACAAGCAAATTCTTCTTCTTCCTCTTCCTCTTC